CCTTACAGTAAAATCATTTTCAACCCCGTGAAAACACTAAAACCCTTCAAACAACTTTTTAATTTAAAATTAAATTTTGGTTTTCTATCTTGATTATCAAATTTTTAACCCTTTTTAGACCCTTAATGAAAAATTGTTTGAAAAAATTATTTTGAAATTGATAGAAAATTAAGAAATTTAAAATGATATGAATGTTATTTCAATTTATCGAAAATAATTTCCATATGCATAATTTGTTCAACTCTTAAAACTACCCTTGAATAAAAACAGTTAATATATTCAATTGCAAATTGAAAAATTATTTAATGAAATCATAGTGTCATAATTTATTTCAAACTAAAACAACATTTACTACTCAATGTTGGAGTTGCTGTTATCATCACCAGCTTCTTCTGGCTGTATTGGAGGGCTATTTTGGCAGTTATCATTGCTACATGTTCCACAAGCTGTATTTCAGAACAGACCAACTTTTCGGCATCCGCATGAGGCTCTGCAACCTTTTCTGCAGTTACAAAAAATCATTTTTAGTAATTCTTGTGGTGCTGGTGGATCTAAAGTTTTGATTGGATTTAATAATTTTTCATTCATTACCCACCCCCAATCAGTTGGGTGAATGTTTTTGTTGGAACGGTTGGAACCAAAGAAGCTAATTTAACGGCAGTGTTGTTTGTGGCAACTTTCATAAAACTTTCATAGCGCATATTTTCGAGATACTGCGATAAGTTTTCTAATCCACTTAACTTTTTTGGTTGTATGTTTTTAGTTAGTCCATACAAACAAACCATGCAATATTTACCAGCTTCTAATACATCTTGGACTTCAGATGTACAGTTCATAAATATCTGCGCTTGCATTCTTAAATCTTGTCTTCGTTCTAGGTGATCCATGATTTTTTTTTGCCTTTATTAAATGCGGCCGAAGTAGAGTCACATCCAGTGAAAGAATGTGCAAAAACAATCAGTTAAGCACAATTTGGGTAGTTTATTCCTAGGCTTCTTCATGAGTATATGACTGTTTTCACATTTTGCTTCCCTAATTTTAAAAATAAAATTTCTTCATCATCATCAACGCGGGCAGTTAAAATCACCAAAATATCGACATCTTCTGCTACAATAACTTTTTTCAAATCAGTTACAAATGATAATCCTGTATCAACAATTAATTCTTCTGCTTCACCCTTACCTTGGTAGCATTTAATAAAATTTTTTTTAGTCACTCCATAAGATACTTAATAAAACGTCTTTTGTTTTTATAATTCGACAAAAATTTCTCTTGGCTGACAATAAGTGGCATATCTTTTGGGAATTCATATTTCTTTGAAGTAACTTTGTGCGCTCGTCGATGTCTTTCTGCTGCTTTATTGTTTTCTTCGTCGTAACCGTCCAAAATTACTATAATATTATTACCAGAATGATATTTCAAATATAAAATATAATTATGAAAAACGTGTGCATAATTACAGTTTGCAGGCCATTTTACTCTATATTATAACATTCCTCCATCAATAAAATACACCGATGCTTCCTTGTTGATGTCTATGTTCTGAGTTTCGAATAATGAGTATAATGAAGATTTCTTTGTCTTTCGCATTCCAATATCACCAAATAATGGTAGTGGATATGGTGCAAGATCATATTTCAGGTACATCTGCAACTCCTCGTCACTTTTCTTTATTATAGAAATACGTTATAATAGTAATAGCGGATTTATAGTTTGGTATATTACCAATGAAATGCGTATGTTATTTTTATAATAATAGTTTATTAATAGTTTATGTACATAGATAACTTATCGCGACAACAACCCGGGACCGACTGCCTGTTCTCTCATCCGTACGCACCATCCGGCGCTACCCTTAACATAGCGACGTTGCCATACGCCTACAGTACTCCCCCTCTAGTGACGAAGTTCACGAAAATCCGGCCTGCCAAAAATCCGGAAAACCGAACTCGGCGTCCTCGTCTTGTTGAAGAGTTTGGTTGTGCAATTGGCTCAGGCTCTGTCGGGCTCAACGGCTGAGATCTGCTGTTGTTAACAGATTCCAGCTGGATTGTTTGCGGAATCTCATTACACTGCGACGGAACGGATTCAGCATTTTCTTCTGGCACTAGTGTGTATGCTGGTTTCAAACGGTCGATAGATATGGTGACATCTTTGCCACGCATACATACCACAAAAGTCTTTGCTGATCTGGATTTCACCTCAAAAGGACCTTCATAAGGATTCTGCAGGGGTCTTTTTGGGCCGTCGTTTCTAACGAAAACGCTTTCTGCAGTCGCTAAGTCTTTAAGTATAAATGTTCTCTTCTGGCCGTGTCGCGTTCCATTGATGGGACATATCTTTTGCATGTGATCACGCAAGTTATTCACGAAGTTTCTTTCGCCGTAATCACTCGTCGGTGTTAAGTGTAGCATTGGTCCAGGCAATCGCAAGGGTTCGCCATATACCATTTCCGCAACAGTAGCTTGCAGATCATCTTTCCATAACCGTCGGTAATATTTCTGTCCATCTTTCACTGCTATGGCATCTAATAGCTGCTTTGAGCTGGCGGTGAAATCTTTCAACCATCCCATTGGCTTCGGGATGGTATACCGTAGTCTTGTAATGACTCGTTCCAAGCAGCTGATTCAGTTGACTGAAGATTCGTGACTCGAACTGCCTTCCCTGGTCTGACGTTAGCCGCAGCGGTATACCAAATCTTGCAATCCAATTAGAATAGAAGGCTCGCGCTACGGTGGAAGCTTCTTGGTCTCTAATTGGAATTGCTTCCGGCCATCTCGAAAATCTGTCGACGCATGTAAGGCAATACCGATATCCTTCTGACAATGGCATTATCACTATATCGATATGCACGTGCTCAAATCTACCCGATGGAAGTTCAAATTGTCCAGTTGGGGCCTGCACGTGCCTACTGACTTTTGCACGCTGACATGCGACGCAACATCGAGCCTACTCGCGGCAATCCCGTTTGATGTACGGCCACACATATCTTTGTGTAACTAGCTTGATCGTAGCATTCATACCGGGGTGTGACAATCCGTGTAAGCTATCAAACACCGCCCGCCGTAACTTTGTTGGAACATACGGTCTAGCTGTTCGCGTAGAGATGTCGCACAAGACTGACACTTCTTGGTCCTCAAATCGAATAAGTTTCAGTTTGAGCGACGTGTTGTTTTCGGTGCGCAACTTAGCTATTTCTTCATCTATTTTCTGCTCCGCTGCCAATAACTTCATATCTATTTCGGCACTTCTTAGAGACTCCGCGATAATGCGTCGGCGACAACATTTTTCTCTCCCGACATATGACGTATATCGGTCGAAAATTGGGCGATAAAGTCTAAATATCGGAATTGACGAGGCGAACACTGACTATCCTTCTTGACAAATCGCGAACACTATTGGTTTATGGTCAGTAAAAATTGTAAAAGTTCTTGCCTCAACCATGTGACGAAAGTATTTCACCGCTTCATACACTGCAAGTAGTTCACGATCGTAAGTTACGTATTTCCGTTCCGTTGTGCTCAGTTTTTGCGAAAAGAATGCCAAGGGTTGCCAGCTGTTAGCGACCTGCTGCTGTAATGAGGCTCCAATGGAATGTTCTGAAGCGTCGCAGAAAATAGCTAAATGAGCATTAGTGTGTGGGTGGGATAGTAGTGCTGCTTGAGCCAGACTCTCCTTACACGCTTCAAAAGCAGCTGACGTATGCGCTGTCCACTCTACCGGGGTTTTGCTCTTCGGATCTCCACGCAGAAACTCATTTAACGGTGCTTGAATTTGAGCGGAATTTGGTATGAACCTTCTATAAAAGTTTAGCATGCCCAAAAACCGCCTCAGCTCTTGCGTTGTCGCTGGCTTTGTGAATGTCCTAAGCTTCAACCTTCTCTGGCAAGGGGAGAGTACCCTCAGCAGAAACCTCATACCCCAAAAACTTTACATTTGTTTGGCCGAACACACATTTAGCTGGGTTTATTACAACTCCAAATTCCAAAAGTTTACCAAACAATGTCTCTAGGTGCGCCATATGTTCTTCCTCGGACGACGAAGCTACAAGAATATCATCGATGTAGGCGTAACAAAAATCTAACCCTTGCAACACCTCATCGATAAATCTCTGGAATGTTTGCGCGGCGTTGCGCAATCCAAACGTCATGTACGGAAATTCATATAGTCCAAACGGTGTTGTAATAGCGGTTTTTGCAATATCTTTTTCCGCCACCGGAATTTGGTTAAACGCTTTTACCAAGTCTATAGTCGAGAATATAGTTTTTCCGTCTAAGGCTTGGGCGAAATCATGAATATGGCGTACTGGATATTTGTCAAGCTTCGTTCGCGCATTCAAACCTCTATAATCGCCACATGGCTGCCCAACAACTTTTCGATGGTCGAGCCGTTCCTAATTTCAGCATAGCTTCAAACTCCTTTCTAGCAGCCAGTAGTCTGTCCGGAGCTAATCTCCGCAGTTTTTGAACCACCGGCGGTCCAGGACTTGTTTTTATATGGTGCTGCGTCGCGTGCTTGCGTAACCTAACAGCGCCGTCTGGTCGTGTTAAACCAGAAAACTTTTCAAGCAACTTATGGTACGCCGTTGAACCCGTTACCACCTTTATAGTCGCTATTGATCCCGCTGCAATATCCGCCTGCGCCGTTAATCCTGTCATAGCATCCGTTATTTGACGATTTTTCACATCCACAATCAAACCGTAGTAAGCGAGAAAATCTACACCAATTATTGGTTGCGTAACGTCTGCTATAATGAAGTTTCATGACAGGCCGCGACGTAGCCCAAGATCAACCACCATTGCCACCATAGGTTGCAATCGTCGTATTATTGGCGGCGGCTAGCTGGTATGCAATCCTCTTCCTATTTGGATTGCATAATAATGAGCGCGGAAACGCTGAAACGTCCGACCCCGTATCAATCAGGTACGACACCTGACTCTTTCTGTCACTTAGGCAAACACGGCGGCTTATCTGTCTCTCTGGGCGTAAATCGTTTGCCGCTAATAACGATGGCCCACTGAGTTCTCCGAACCAATGTCGCACGGCGATCGACATCTCTTTGCATTCCGACCGAACCGTCGATGATATTCGCAAAGCGTTCGTACGCGTTCTTCCGAACCTGACCGACTTCTTGCGGGCGTACGCGATCTGCGCCCACGGCGAAGGGATGAACCGTCTCGTCGGTCCTCTACCTGCTTTCTCAAGTCAGAAATCTCGGCTCGCATGTTCCGCAATTCTGACGCGATGTTGCCGTAAAAATCGTCGTGCGCTGATGTGCTTGCAATCGCCATTGTTGTTGCACCCGATGCTGTCTCTAATTCCATAATTCTGTCGGCGGCTTTCGCATTCAAATCTATGTCACTGTTTTCCCGTACAGATATTAATGCTTGCACATGCGTAGGCAATCGCGACGACCACATTAAGTTCAGCATTTCTTTTGAAACAGCTGAACCCGCTAATGAGCGTAGGTGCCGTAAAAACTGTGATGGAGTTCTATCACCCATTAACTGGCGTAGCTTTGTTTCATCGGAAATGCCATACCGTTTCAACAATTCCTTTTTCAACGCACTATATGGATTATCTTTAGAGGGTTTCAGAATTATATTGCGAACTTCTGACGCATACCGCGGGTCCAACTTACTAACTACCGTATGAAATTTTGAACTTTCATCCTTCACATTAGCGTGCACAAACACACTTTCCGCTAAAGCAAACCACAACTCTGGGTCCTGCTCGTAAAAATGTGGCAAATTTACGTTATCGCAGGGCACTACTACTGGCGTACTCATGTTTTGCACTGCACTCAACTTTTTCGCACGAGAATTCATTTAAAATTAACACACACACACTAAATCACGTCGGTGTTACCACTTTGGTATATTACCAATGAAATGCGTATGTTATTTTTATAATAATAGTTTATTAATAGTTTATGTACATAGATAACTTATCGCGACAACAACTCGGGACCGACTGCCTGTTCTCTCATCCGTACGCACCGTCCGGCGCTACCCTTAACATAGCGACGTTGCCATACGCCTACAATAGGCACAAATTAATTACAAAACACCAATTAATGAGGTAACTTTATCTTTTTTAGACAATTTAATGTTTTGAAAAGTCATACCTCGATGCTCTGCATTGCTTTAATGCCAATTTCGAGAGCGTTGTGGCAATTTATCTCATCAGTGTAATAATCAAATGGATTATTTATTCATTTATTTATTTTATTTATCATATAGCCCACAGAGTAGCTCCAGGAGGACTTAAAAATTTTAATAATACATATTATAATAATACAAGTATACTAATATATGATATAACAACACATAACATAATATAATTCATAACAAAACAATACATAACACAAAATAAAAGAAACTATCAAAGACTTAACAGTAAAACTAAATTATATATGATGGAAATAACATATTCGTGACAAAATATCAAGATTAACTTGTACAGATGGTAATTAATTGTTTTACTGAAGTATTGTGAATATCGATATCTTTATTAATTGAGTTGAAATCAGGGGACATTAGCACTATAGGTGAGTTTAATAGAGCACTAGTCTTAGGAGTAGGATATTTGAAAAACATTTGAGTTCGTGTTGAGAGTCAAGGAAGGTTAAAGGATAGTTGGTCTAGAATTTGAGGACAATCTATGGACGTGTAACAAGAGATGATACGCAGAATGCATTAAGTAAAATATTGTGGTCGAAACCTCGTTCAGGGTAAATTTTGTGCGTTTTGAAATATAGATATTTTAGAAATTTTCTTTGAACCTTCTCTATCGCATCTGAATTATTGCTATGGTTAGGATACCAAATGATCGATCCATACTCCAGCTTTGAACGTACAATTGCATAGTATATGCTAATTAGTGACAAATTAGATTCAATTCTTTTGCAGTTTCTTAATATTATTCCTAATGATTTTGCGCCTTGTTACATATACGAGGTCTGTTCAAAAAGTACCCGGAATTACTAATAATTAAATTTCGCGGGTCTGGAGTGTCTGATTGTCAAAATTTTTTTTTATTGTGTTGGTATACATGCCCCTAAAGTATGATGAAATTTTCAGCTATATTCACTGTTTACTTTGTCTGTGGTAGTCGCTAAGGTTCGACGTGTTTTTCTGAGCTCGGCGATTTTTACAATGGAAGAATTGAAAAGTCAAAGAATTTGTATTAAATTTTGCGTAAAAAATGAAATAAAGTGTTGCAAAGTGCAAAAATTCACCAGATATGGCTCCGTGTGACTTTTTCCTATTCCCAAAGTTGAAGAGACCCATGAAAGGACGGCGGTTTTCCTCGATTGAAGAAAATCGCTGAGAGTGCTCAAGGACATATCAAAAAGTGAATATCAAGGGTGCTTCGAAAATTGGAAAAAACGCTGGCATAAGTGTATTATATCTGGGGGGGACTACTTTGAAGGGGACCACATTAATGTAGACGAATAAATAAATATTTTTTTGAAAAAACGAAAATTACGAAAACTTTTTGAACAGACCATGTATTAGATATGTGATCTGTAAAAGTCAAACTAGAATCAAATACAATGCCTAAATCAGATATTTTATCACACCTTTCTATGCAGGTGTCAGAAATTTTATAATCAAAATGCGTCGGAACGATCTTGTTTGTAAAGCTAATAATTTTGCATTAAGAAATATTCAGATCCAGTTTATTTTCAACACACCAGGAGTAAAATGATTTTAGTTGAGACTGCAATACTAGGCAGTCATCTATTGAGTTTATTTTAAGATATAACTTGAGATCATCTGCAAACAATAGAGGACAAATAATTACTACCGATATATCGTTAATGAAAATATTAAATAAAAGAGGACTAAGGGTGGACCCCTGGAGCCGTTAAGAAAAACGAAGATTCATAGCTAGAAATTGTTTAATACATATTAGATTTGTTATTTTCCATTGCACATTTAACAATTTGACCCACTGTGCTGGTGTAGTGGGTTCACAAATTTTAATTTTATATATCACATTTTCCGATTTATAACTAATTTCACTTCCATATTTTTCCCGTATTTTTTCTATTACATCTTTTTTATCGAATTTTACATTTATTCCTATTCCATAAATAGCTCTAACATTTTCCGAAATACTATTAATTTAATTTTTAACCAATTATGTACTACTAATGGTTAAATTTTACCTTTCACCATTTTAAAATCGAAAAGAAGCATATTGACTTAATCAAAACGCTCTATCTTTTTTATATTAGAGATACACAGGCCTATGCCTGGTATTCTGAGCATATTATAAAATATATATTATTAGCTTTGATGTATTCTTTTCGATTGCTCGATGCAAGCTGACTCTTTCGATAACAAGAGTTTGTAAATGGAGACAATTAGAACAAAGAACAGTTGAATACAAAATAATTGAGTCGTTCAAAACTGAATCACTAGTATGTAAAGACTTGGCACTTGGCTCCGTATAACAATCATTTTGAATATTTGTTAAGAAAGAAGTAAATTAGAAAAAAACTTTATTAATATAATGAATATATGTTTTTTGGTCAATTATGAATTTTACTACATACTTCATTATATTATCTTTATTTACATTGTGAACTAAGAGCTTTTGAATGGGTCACATATAGAATGTATGTACTTTTTGCATAAACAAAAAATTAAAAAGACTTACAGTGCACTCTGTATAAAGATTACATGGTTTCGAAATGGAAAAAACTACCTTAAAATTATAATCTAATTATATAATTTTCTTTTCAATATTGTCCTGCTTAATTTGCGATTTGTATGCAAGCTCCATAGCAGCTATCAATACCCGTGTTGACTCTATTATTTTCATGGTAACTAGTTCAATTGGAACAAGTTCTAATTCAATATTAAAACTCTTTTTTTTATTTATTTATTTATTTTGGCTTCTGATTTGCATCATTTTGCCATTACAATTATCTGTACAGTTGCAGCAGTTTTATATAATACATTGATACTTATACAATAATTATTATGTTATATATTAATTTTGCATTTACTTATAAAATTATATAAATATTTATATATCCTTATGTCATTACTTGATATAAGTACTTGTACATTAATGGGAAAAATCATCTTAACGTTTTGTAAATACTTAAATAATTTTGATCTTTCTTGCTGATAAAAATTACATTCCCAAAATAAATGATCGAGTGTTTCTAGGCTTCCACAGTCACATTTTGGATCCTGTATGATACCAATTCTCTTCAGATGCGATTTGCAGTAGGAGTGTCCGAGTCTCAATCTGCAGATTACTGTAATAAAATTTCGACTTTCTTCTATATTTTTAAACCATGTGTTTGGTGAAACAATCTCTCTCGTTAGTGCGTATGTGGATCCTTTTGACTTTGTTGTTTCTGAGTGAGATTTTTGCCATAGTTCCAAACCTTGTTGTTTTATTAAATGTTTTAAATCTAGCGCAGGAGTTTTCGCAAATTGATCGCCGCTCGTGCATGCTTCTTTAGCTAGACTGTCTGCCATCTCATTGCCTTTTATATTAGAATGACCCTTTATCCAAAGAAGAATCATGGATTTATCATCAGTATTGATTTTCTTTATGATTTCTATAATTTTGTATATTATTATATTTGAATGTTTATTGGCGTGTTTTATGGCTGTTAGACTTGATTTGCTGTCACTTAGTATCAAAGATTTGTTAATCTTATTGTCATTCACATATTTTACGGCAGTGTATATCGCTATAAGTTCCGCTGAAAATATGGATGTATAGTTTGGAAGTCTTACTTTGTTGCTGTAATGGATTCTTGGGATATGTATGGCACATCCGGTTCCCTCTAATGTTTTAGAGCCGTCAGTATATATTTGCAAATAATCCGGCCAATTTGAGTTGATATGATGTTCTAATTCACGGATATATATGCCTGTGTTTGCTATATTTGTGCTCTTATTATCTATATCGATGTATGGTTTAATGTAATCGTTTAGCGGTGGATAGATGTAATATGGAGTTTTATCATTGATTATGATGTTCTCTTCGCGAGGTTTAATTGTATAAAAACTATTTATTAGTGATGGAGCTGGTTTGTTTGTCCAGTAGCGTGTGGAGTAATGTAATCTTGCTAGTTTTTCTAACTGTTTGGGTAATAATTTACATGATCCATTAAGTTTTTCATCAAGAATCTGTTTGCTAGGATCTCTCTTCTTATGCTCAGAGGAGGTTCTTTTGCTTCTGTTAATAACGCATTTGTCGGTGTTGATCTAAATGCCCATATGCATGTTCTTATTGCGGAATATTGAATTTTATCAAGTTTGTTTTGTTCACTTTTTGACGTTGTTCAATATATAAAGCATCCGTAATCTATTTGAGTTCTAATCAGATTTCTGTACAGTAAAAGACATGTCTCTGGGTGTGCTCCCCATTTAGTATTTGTTATTTTACCAAGTATATTGATGCCTGTTTCGCATTTTCTTGATAATTCTTGTATATGCTTTTTAAAGGTCATTTTGGCGTCAAAGGTTATGCCTAGTATTTTCACGTTGTCTTTTATTATAACATCTTGAGTTCCAACCCTTATGTGACCTATGTTCTGAGGGAGTCTGTGTCTAGTGAAAATCGTTGCTGAGCTTTTGGTTGGTGATATATTTAAATTATTGCTTGATAACCATTTTATGTTTTCTTTAATAGCATAGTTCATTTGCGTTATACATGATTCTATTGACGGTCTTGATATGTATAAACAAATGTCGTCGGCATATTGTAATTTTTTAACACTTGTATCAGGTATCTTATGGTAATCCGCAGTATATATGTTGAATAATGTGGGGCTTAAAATGGAGCCTTG